AATTCTTATCTAATCTAATCTACCTAACCTAATCTAATCTAACCTAATCCAATCTATCTAATCTAATCTAATCTAACCGAATCTAATCTATATAATCTAATCTAATTCTAATCTAGTTTAATCTATCTAACCTAATCTAATCTACCTAAATCTAATCTAATCTAATCTACCTCATCTAATCTAATCTAATCTACCTAACCTAATCCAATTCTAATCTAATCTAATCTAACCTAATCAAATCTAACCTAATCTATCCAATCTGATCCAATTCTAATCTAATCCAATCTAATCTACCTAATCTAATCTATGTCTCATCTAATCTAACTAATCTAATCTAATCTACCTAATCTAATCTATTTCTTATCTAGTCTACCTAATCTAATCTAATCTACCTAATCGAAACTAATTCTAATCTAATCTAATCTACCTAATCAATTCTAATCTACCTAACCTTATCTAATCTACTCTAATCAATCTAGCCGAATCTGACCTAATCTACCTAATCTAATCTGATTCTAATCTAATTTATCTAACCTGTCTAATCTAATCTAATCTAATCTAATGAGTCAAATCTAAATCTAATCCACCTAATCTAATCTAATTTAATGTGTTCATCTAATCTATCGAATCTAATCAAATCCAATCTACCTAATCTAATCTTATCTAATCTACCTAATCTAATCTAATCTAATCTAACCTACCTAATCTAATCCAACTCTAATCTAATCTAATCTACCTAATCTAATCTATTTCTAATCTAATCTAATCTATGTCTAATCTAATCTATCTAATCTAATCTAATCTACCTAATCCAATCTAATCTAATCTAATCTAATCTAATCTAATCTACCTCATCTAATCTATCAAATTTAATCTAATCTATCTAATCTAATCTAACCTAATCTAATCTAATCTAACCTAATCGAATCTAATCTTATCTAATCTTCCTAACCGACTCTAATTCGAATCTAATCAAACCTAATCTATCTAATCTAATCTAATCTATTCTAATCTAATCTACCTAATCTACTCTAATCTAATCTATCTAGTCGAATCTGACCTAATCTACCTAATCTAATCTGATTCTAATCTAATCTTATCTAACCTCATCTAATCTAATCTAATCAATCAAATCTAAATCTAATCTAATATAATCTAATCCAATTTATCTATCTAATCTATCTAATCTAATCTAATCTGATCTAATCTATCTAATCTAATCTAATCTACCTAATCAAATCTAATTCTAATTTAATCTAATCTAATCCAACCTAACGTAATCTAATCTATCTAATCTAATCTATCTAATCTGATCTAATCTAATCTAACCTAATCTAACCTACCTAATCTAGTCTAATCTAACCTAATCTACCTAATCTAATCTGATCTACCTAATCTAACCAAATCTAACTCAAATCTAATCTAATCTAATCTAATCTACCTAATCTAATCAAAGCAAATATAATTCTAATCTAATCTAATCTATATAATCTAACCTAATCGACCTAATCTAATCTAATCTACCTAATCTATTCCAATTCTAATCTAATCTAATCTACCTGATCTAATCAAATTTACCTAATCTAATCTAATCTAATCCATCTAGTCTAATCTCATCTAATCTTGTTAATCTAATCTATCTAATCTAACCGAACCTACCTAATCAAATCAGATTCTAATCTAACCAAATCTAATCTAATCTAATCAATCTAATCTAATCTATCTAATCTAATCTAATCTAATCTACCTAATCTAACCTAATTCTAATCTAATCTAATCAATCTAATCTAATCTATCTAATCCAATCTAATCTACCTAACCTAATCTAATTCTAATCTAATCTACCTAATCTAATCTAATTCTAATCTAGTCTAATCTAACCTAATCTAATCTACCTAAACTAATCTAATTCTAATCTAATTTTTCTAACCTAATCTAATCTAGTTTAATCTAGTCTATGTAATCTAATCTTACCTTATCGAAACTAATCTATCCAATCTAATAAAACCTATCCAATCTAATCTAATCTTATCTACCTAATCAAATCTGATTCTAATCATAATTCTAATCTAATCCAACCTTATCTATATAATCTAATCTAATCTTATCTAAACAAAACTAACCTATCCAATGGAATCTAATCTATCCAATCTAATCTAATATAATCTTATCTGCATAATCTGATCTAATCTAATCTGATCTAATCTAATCTAATCTATCTAACTAATCTAATCTAATCTAATCTACCTAATCTTATCTAATCTACCTAATCTAATCCAATCCTAATCTAATCTAATGTACCTAATCTAATCTACCTAGTCTAATCTAATCTAAACTAATCTGTCCAATCTAATCTAATCTATCAAACTAAACTAATCTAATCTATTTTTTTAATCTAATCTAATCTAGTCTAATCCAATCTACCTAATCTAATCCAATTCTAATCGAATCTAACCTAATCTAATCTAACCTAATCTAATCTATCTAGCTAATCTAATTCTAACCTAATTCTAATCTGATCTAATCTAATCTAATCTAATCATATCATATCTATCTAACTAATCTAATCTAATCTAACCTAATCTAATCTAATATAATCTAATCTAATCTAATCTAATCTATCTAATCTAATCTAATCTGATCTAATCTAATCTCATCTATCTAATCTTACCTAATCTTATCTAATCTAATCTAATCTATCTAGTCAAATCTAATCTAATCTAACCTTATATAATCTAATCTATCTAACCTAACCCAATTTGTCTATCTAATCTATCTAGTCTAATCTATTTCAAATCTAACCTGTCTAATCTAATCTAATCTACCTAATCTAATCTAGTCTAATCTAATCTACCTAATCTGATCCAATTCTAAACTAATCTAAATCAATCTACCTAATCGAATCTATGTCTGATCTAATCTATCTAATCTAATCTAATCTACCTAATCTAATCTAATTCTAATCTAGTTTAACCTATCTAATCTTATCTAATCTACCTAATCGAATCTTATTCTAATCTAACCTAATCTGCCTAATCTAATCTAATCTATCTAATCTAATCTGATCTAATCTATCTAGCCAAATCTGACCTAATCTACCTAATCTAATCTGAATCTAATCTAATCTTATCTCTAATCTAATCTAATCTAATCTAATCAATCAAATCTAAATCTAATCTAATATAATCTAATCCAATTTGTCTATCTAATCTGTCTAACCTAATCTAATCTAGATCTAACCTAATCAAATCTTATCTAATCTGTCTATCTAATCTATCTAATCTAATCTCATCTATCAAACTAATCTAATCTAATCTCATCTATCTAATCTTACCCAATCTAATCTAATCTAATCTATCTAGTCAAATCTAATCTAATCTAACCGCATTTAATCTAATCTATCTAACCTAATCCAATTTGTCTATCTAATCTATCTAGTCTAATCTATTTCAAAGCTAACCTGTCTAATCTAATCTAATCTACCTAATCTAATCTAGTCTAATCTAATCTACCTAATCTGATCCAATTCTAAACTAATCTAATCCAATCTACCTAATCTAATCTATTTCTGATCTAATCTATCTAATCTAATCTAATCTACCTAATCTAATCTAATTCTAATCTAGTTTAACCTATCTAATCTTATCTAATCTACCTAATCGAATCTTATTCTCATCTAACCTAATCTGCCTAATCTAATCTAATCTATCTAATCTAATCTGATCTAATCTATCTAGCCAAATCTGACCTAATCTACCTAATCTAATCTGAATCTAATCTAATCTTATCTAACCTAATCTAATCTCTTCTAATCTAATCAATCAAATCTAAATCTAATCTAATATAATCTAATCCAATTTGTCTATCTAATCTGTCGAATCTAATCTAACCTAATCTAATCTAATCTAATCTACCTAATCTAATCTAATTCTAATTTAATCTAATCTATCTAATCTCATCTAACCTAATCTAATCTAATCTACCCAATCTAATCTAATTCTAATCTAATCTAATCTAGTCTATCTAATCTAATCTTATCTAACCTAATCTAATCTAATTGATTCTATCTAATTTAATCTAATCTAATCTAATCTAAATCTAATCTATCTAATCTACGAAACCCGAAACCCGAAACCCGAAACCGACATCTGAAGTGAGTGTCAACCTACGAAACCCGAAACCCGAAACCGACATCTAAAGTTGGTTTCGATCGACGAAACCCGAAACCCGAAACTGACATCCGACATCTGACGTTGGTTTCGGCCTACGAAACCCGAAACCCGAAACCGACATCTGAAGTTGGCTTCGACCTTCGAAACCCGAAACCCGAAACCGACATCCGACATCTGACGTTGGTTTCGGCCTACGAAACCCGAAACCCAAAACCGGCATATCTGAAGTTGGTTTCGACCTACGAAACCCGAAACCCGAAACCCGAAACCCGAAACCGACATCTAAAGTTGGTTTCAATCGATGAAACCCGAAACCCGAAACCGACATCTAAATTTGGTTTCGACCAGCGAAACCCGAAACCCGAAACCCGAAACCCGAAACCCGAAACCGACATCTGAAGTTGGTTTCGACCTACGAAACCCAAAACCCGAAACCCGAAACCGACATCTGAAGTTGGTTTCGATCGACGAAACCCGAAACCCAAAACCGACATCTAAATTTGGCTTCGACCAGCGAAACCGGAAACCCGAAACCCGAAACCCGAAAACGACTCGAATCCGACTTTTGAGGTAGCTCTCCGGATCGGAACTCCTACTAGTGACAAGAGCAAGAGGGGAAAAACTGGTCGTGTGTCATCGTGTGTCTGTGATTAAGTGGCAGAAAGAAGGGTTGTCAGCGCTTTAGGCATGCTGTCACAATTTCCTGACCTGTCTCACCTCTCGAAAAGTAAACTGAGGCCCATCAAATTCAACTTGTTGTTGTCATATTTTGTCCTTACTTTGATTGTGGCAACTTCAAAGCAAGTGAACGAGAAGTGTTGAGCCTGCCTCGCCACGAATCTTCAACAGCCCTTGAACCAGCTCTACAACTTGGAGTGTGCCGCTTCCGTCTGCATCTATGATTTCGAACCTCAGCAACACAAATAGACGCTGCAAGCTGACGCGACGCAGCGCTACGCACGTTGCCACGGCTTAGCGGCCAACATCAGCGCGTTGGCGGAGCTTAAGCTGATACAGGGACAGAAAGAGATAGAGAGATAGAGAGATGGAGGGATAGAGAGATAGAGACATAGACAAATAGACAGACAAGCAGACAGACAAGCAGACAGACAGACAGACACAGACAGACACAGACACACACAGACAGACACAGACAGACACAGACAGACACAGACAGACACAGACAGACACAGACAGACACAGACAGACACAGACAGACACAGACAGACACAGACAGACACCACACACACAGACAGACACAGACAGACACAGACAGACACAGACAGACACAGACAGACACAGACAGACACAGACAGACACAGACAGACACAGACAGACAGACAGATAGATAGATAGATAGAGAGATGGAAAGATAGAGAGATAGACAGATAGGGAGAGATAGGCCGATAGAGAGATAGACAGATAGAAAGATAGACAGATAGATAGATAGAGAGATAGACAGATAGAGAGACAGAGAGATAGACCTATAGACAGCTAGGGAGATAGACGGAGAGAGAGAGAGAGACAGAGAGACAGAGAGACAGAGAGACAGAGAGACAGAGAGACAGAGAGACAGAGAGACAGAGAGAGATGGAGAGATGGAGAGATGGATAGATGGATAGATGGATAGATGGATAGATGGATAGATGGATAGATAGATCGATCTATCGATCTATCGATAGGTAGATGACAAACAGAAAGAGATTGACGGATAGGCTAGAGATAGAGAGATAGACAGACAGAGAGATAGACAAACAGAGAAACAGAGAGACAGACAGGCAGACAGCCAGCCAGCCAGCCAGGCAGGGAGGCAGCCACCAGGCAGGTAGGCAGGTGAGACAGAGACAGAGACAGATGGACAGACAGATGGACAGACAGATGGACAGATGGACAGACAGGCGGACAGATAGATGGACAGACAGATGGACAGACAGATGGACAGACAGATCGACAGACAGATCGACAGACGGATGGACAGACAGATGGACAGACAGATGGACAGACAGATGGACAGACAGATGGACAGACAGATGAACAGACAGATGGACAGACAGATGGACAGACAGATGGACAGAAAGATAGACAGACAGATGGACAGACAAATGGACAGACAGATAGACAGACAAATGGACAGACAAATGGACAGACAGACGGACGAAAAACGAACGAAAACGGAGGACGGACGGACAGACGGACACAGACAGACAGAGACAAGCGGAGACAGACAGAGACAGACAGAGACAGACAGATAGACAGATACAGACAGATAGACAGATAGACAGATAGGTAGACAGAGAGACAGAGAGACAGAGAGACAGAGAGACAAATAGATAGACAGAGAGACAGAGAGACAGAGAGACAAAGAGAGAGAGAGAGAGAGGCCTGAGAGAGGTGGAGATAGGCAAATATACAGATAGATAGATCAACAGGCATATGTTTGGAAAAGGCTGGAGACATGACATGCGCGTCGTGAAAGCAGAGTCTGTGAATGTAATAGTGTGCCATGTCTTTACGCAGCCGATTTCCTTTCTTTAAATGCAAACAGGTTGCAAGTTGGCTCGATCACGTGGGAGTTCGAGGTCATCCATCAATGCCTGGTTTCTCTGACTTGCTCTCTGTCGCAAGGTATCTAGGTGAAAAACACTGAAAAACAAAAGGACGTGCTCTTAAAACTGGTTGCAACAAATTGGACAACCAGTACAAACATACGATATGTTTTCCACTGCCTGAACACCTCGGTCTTGGATGACCAGAAGGAAAAGTTCCTTGGTAATAGCAATGTTCTCCTCAGCTGCCGGTGACATGAATCACAGGCAGTTCATGGTGTGGAAGTGTTTTTCGAATATTTGACAAGAATGAAGGATGGACACCAAATAATTATGGAGACGAACACCACCCAACCCGTACTGCCAAGAGCAAGATCAAAGCGAGCTTCCTGTATTTGGTCATCCGTGAACATGCTGGTGTCCAAGCGTTGAAATAAACATGGATGAGTTGAATCATCAAAATCCTGCGCAATACGGGAAAAGTTGGCAGCAGCAAAAACCGCAGATTCGGATATTTACATTACATAAATTTGATCACATGGCCAGGTGACTCTTGTTGGTTTTTGTTTGATCTTGTTCGTGCGTTGCTTAACTTGGTGCATGTTGGGCTGGGCCTGAAACATGCGAAAAGCCGCTGCGAACTTCTTCAGCAACTCCCGTGTCACTCGCGCGATGCGAATGGATTCGCGCGAGTGCTGCTCTGCCGTAAGCGCTTCGTTCTCTTTCGCTGCCTCGCAGAGCGGAATAGAGAAAACGGGGGCCGTGCAGCGCCTTGTGACTGGGGCGCCAAGTATAGCATTCTCTGCTCACAGTATTCGGCCTGGCTCAGGCCTAAATCAGGATGGCAGTGGGCACATGCCATCTTTAACCAATGACATATGCATACATATCCTACAGCCAACCAGCCCAGCAAAGCGGAAAAGTGGCAATGCTCGAACATCACGATCTGATTGTGTCGACTCCCTCCCGTCTCAAACGGCAGGGCCTTCATCGTTATGTCAACGTACACTGCGAGTATGACATTGAAGATGCCCATGGATACCAGCATATAACTTGCGACATAGCCAGCAACAAATGGCACCCCAAACTCGGCCGCAAGTAACGAATGCAACGGCTGACCGCTGTCGTTGACCTTGGGAAAGCGGCTTCTACGAGCAAAGTAGTTCTGGCTTGAGAAGCCATAGTGAAGCCGTGCCAGATTCATCCAGCGTATGATCCTCGAAATGGAAACCATGCAAAATCATGCAAGCTGTTGCCTTCAGCAGCACCTTTGGTGGTGGTAAGCGGGTCTTCTCACAGAAAGGTCGGTTGTTGACATTAACAAGCATTAATAGTGGTCGGCGGGGCAAAATATTTCTTGACCAAAGCAGTTACTTTTTACATCTTATTACTATATATTCTTTAGGGGGGGCTTGTTGTGCGCGGGAGCTTTTGAGAATCTTTGCTTACGAGGTCTCAGGTGCGGCTTTGGCGTGATGATTTTTCTTGGTGGTACTTTGGCACAGCCCTTTGGTGACCCAAAAGGCTGGCTCCAAAGCGCTTTTAATTCGGGGCACCATGGGGGCACCCAAGCTGACTTTGGGGCCTTCAATATGGGCAAGGGGCATCACCAGTGTGGGACAGCCCTTGAATAATTCCGCGGATTCAATCTCAAGTCTCACTCTGCACATGACACATGATATCTCTCATGATGCCAAGGCACACATTCACCTGTAAAGCACCGAAAGGCCGTGAACATCGAATCGGGCAATGTTCGGAAGTAGGGCTCGAGACCTCATTTTGCCAGGACTTTCCTTGTCTCAGCCTTCACCCTTTGCGCAGAGGGCATTCTTGGTTCAATAAGATGTTCAAAGTTGCTCAGAGATTCACAGCAGGAAAAAGCAAGTTGAGTCACTCAGCCAAGACACCCAGTGCTGCAGTCTGCTTGCTGGTTCCGATGGACATGGTTGCAAAACCTGAAATCACCTGACTTTTAAGGAAAAACACTTGGGCAAGGCATGCATGGCTGGAAGTTTGAAGAAAAACCTGAAAATTAGACGAGTTGAGTCCGTTGAGAACCCTTCATGAACTTTCCCACAGAGTCCACAGAGTCAGAAGGCCCTGCAACAATCTACTTGCCAAGATGCATACAACACCACAAAGAGCAGTGTAAAGGCGAGGGAAAGGGTGCGAAGACCAGCAACCAGGCCTTTCACCTGACTCAATGCAGAGTCGGTTCATGCAAGATTTTGTCAAGCCCGTCACCAGGCTTGGAGAACTGCATGACCTGCAAAAACAAAGAACACTACGATCTATAATCTATACCCCAGAAGTGAAACTTAGAATTTGGTTTCAGTTTCCAGGAATTATTCTTCGGTCATGATAAGCATACGGAAACCTGCAATAATACATGCATATAATTGATTCGCCCCAAAAAATGTAGTTTCCCATGTTTTTTACAAGATGCTATGCATCAAAGTGGCAATCGATTGCTAAGAGGATGACCCTTCCAGGGTCTTGTCATGTTTCTGTGGAATCAACATACATACCGAGGGTCGTGCAAAGCGTATGAAACTTGCAAAACAAACGTGTATGTAGACTGATTTTGCATCATGCTGTGATTTTGCGAATTCTTGCGATTACGTTGCTATAAAGTGTAGAGCGGCCCTAGGGCCACGTAACCACAGAACATGAGGATCGGGCCATACCCTTTTCCTGCCAACTTTAGAATATCCCCCTAAGGTCACATAACATTACGTGAACAACAATCGCATATAGCATTTGGATCTTGGCGTTTTTCTTTCTCCAAAGGGATGTGCTCTAGCAGCCCACAGATTCATATGTAACAGTGCCCTTTTCCTAGGTGCGTTTGGAGTAGCATGGGGAACTCTACGCTTAGAATGCCTCCGGTGCAGATTCAAAGGACATCATAAAGGCAATTAATTCACAAACACTAGTACTTTTTCTGGCTACAAGGTGATGCGCTCAAGCACCCGCAGGCTCACAGAAGCACATATCATGTGAACCTAGCCTTGCCGTTTTCCCGCTAGGTTACCTGCAATAGCTTGGAAACTATTCACTTCGAATGTCCCTTACCACAGTTCATGTACTGTCACATGAACCAAAAACAACACATCATATTGTGATTTTGCAGATTCTTGCATCTTCCTTCTTAAAAAGCAGCCTGCTCTAGCAGCCCTGCCATCAGGGCCACATGACCACAGAACATGAGGGCTGAACTGAGCCCAACATGCAGAACTCCGCATTTAGAGTATGCCCCGTCCCAGGTCAAATTGCCCTTTGCCTAGGTGACCTGCAATAGCATGGGGAACTCTACACCTAGAATGGACCTCGGCCGAGATCGTCCTATAGAAAATCAAACACATTGCTTGAAAATGTTAGACATTCTTGAGCCTTTTGTTTGCCACAAGTTGGCGTGCCCCAGTAACCCAAAAGTTTCACAGCCACACAACATGTAAATCAAGGCACGCCCTTTCCCTATCAGCACAGCTGCTAAAAGACCAGACAACATGATGCAGAAGCTTTCCAAGCGGTGGACGTTGGCATCAACCCTATAAAAGTAAAGAAGACATTCTAAATGTTGAAATCATTGAGATTTCCACGAACAAAATACACCGGCAAGAGACCCCAAACAGTCTAAAAGGTAGAAAGCCAACGTACCAGATACAAGCAGCAGCAGCCATGGAACAGCAACAGATGAAGTTAGACATCATCGCAACTGCAGCAGCAGGACCTATGTAGATCTATATAGAGGATCTCACAAGATCTTCATCAAGAACTTCCTATAAGCATCCCAGACGAACTATCATACAAGCACCAGTGCAGAGCATCTTCAAGATCTTCATGCAAGGACCTCTTGAGAAGGGTTTCAACAGGATCTCCACAAGATCTCCTCACAAGGACCTGCACCAGATCATGTAAGGACACCTGGAGGATTTCACAGGACCTCTTCACAAGCTTCGCACAAGAAGTATACAAGATCCTGCAAAGGCTCCTGAAGCGTTTCACTACGATCTCCACAAGATCTTCTCGCAAGGAATTGCAAAAGACTTTGGCCAACATCTCCAGCACCCTGGCTACTCTATGGTAGCGCTCAAACAGAACGCACTGTGAAAGCATAATTGGGTATGAAACGGAACGAGTTGATACATGGTGACATGGTGCTTTAGCATGTTCTGAGATATGAAACGGTTCTTGAGCGCACAATGGACTCACAATGACTCACTAAAGTTAGTGAACCACGGAATCGGCCGTGGTTTTCACTTCCATCCCGAAGTCAGGACACCATCAACCGCAGCTCTCCCATAAACTTCAGGCGGAAAGCCTGGCAAAAGCCAAGCAACGCCGACTGTGCCCGTCGAGGAAGACTTTAAATTCCGTCTCACCGTGGTCAACCGTGATCAATAGTCCACTTGATAGAGAATGAAAGAGACACATGTGAGGTGACATGTTGGCCAGTCCGTTGCTGCAACTACTTTCAAGGTCAAACTCCGTGTGCAATCTGGGGTAAAGCAGAGCCTTGATTATTCTCACCAAACGCACAAGCCGACAAAGGCGTAAGAGAGATGAACCATTCAGGGCGTGAGAAGCCTCTGTGATTGC